TTTTTATTTTTTAAAAATCAGTATAAAATAATTGTAATTTTGGTTTCGCTTTATCATAGTAATGTAAAGATGTAAATATTTAGTAAATCCTCACTATAAGTGGTGTAAAATAGGAAAATGATAATAAATCTACATATATTACAATACTTCTAAAATATCTTAGAATGTTTAATATAAATGACTAAAAAATATACAAAAATTATGTGTTGAAAAGAAACCTGAAAAAATTAAGAATTTATTTAAAAACAAACATTTTAAAGGAATAAAATCAACCTTGGTATATAGTGAAGAGTCTGTATACTACAACAAAGGAACTTATTGTAGTTTGAAAGTCAAAATAACAGCTGTAGGTATAAAGATACAGCCTGTAATTAAGCGTAAAAAAAAAGAAAAATCTATAGTAGCACAATAATACTTATTTAAGAGCTATTACGTAAAATGTGTTTATTTTTGTGATTAGTATTTTTTTTTTGTTCATTTCGTGTGACAGTCCTTGGTGATATAAAAAGTCCAAAAGAATACCTGAGCTTCTATACAAAAATGACAACTTCTTCATCCGTACATAATTCTTACAGCTTAAAGTTTGTGACGAACTAAAATGATAATAAAGTACAGGTAATCCATAACGCGCAAAACCTATAACTCTATAATTGCTTACATACGTGTCTATGTAATCGTAATTTGTTAATAAATCAAACAATTTCATAGAAAGTTCGGTATGTATGATGCCAACAATTTATTACGGGCTAAAAAAGACTTTTTATTATTTAATTATTGTCATTACAAAGAGAGGTTGTAGTGCTACATACAGTTTATAATTATAAGGTAAAGAAACTTATTCGACCAAAGCCGGGTTATTTCGACGCTAAATGAAACTTGAGGTTAAATCGAGTGATGTTACATGGAGTATGTACACTGTATTTAAATAGTAGATGCATTTGCACGTACACGATTATAATTATCATTTAAAATATAGGGATAATAAAAAGGAAACAACAAAACATAAGTATAATAAAACATACATAGGTTTTATCAATTTAACGTTAGCTCTGAACCTCCTAAATAAAACACTATTAGACGAACTTTAACGGTAATGTAAGGTGATCTCTTATACTATTGTAGAAAAGCAATAACCAATATTAATGGTACAATCTTGGGAACATATTTTTAATATTTGGAGAACTTCGAAAATGATAGATTACATTACCCTACTTATTACATTTTGATATGACCAATTGACCAAGTGCCTCCATTTCGCATTCAACTCAAGTGGATCCTAATTTGCCGATGCAGCAAAATTCATATTCTCTATAGTGTTTATATCATGTTGTTCCTTTACATTACTTCTTTTTATCTTAAGAAAAAAAAAATATCTTAGGTGACTCCCATTAACGATCTCTATGTTCTAATAACAATCATATCCTTAAAATTTCTGTCAAGGCGTCCTCCTGTTTCTCACATTCCTTTACCTTAAAAACTGTGCGACTCTGGAACTTCTTATATGTATAATTTATTAACTATTATCAAACTATCTATCATAGTACCCCAGTATTAAAGATCCTGACAAACGTTTTATAATCACATATCGCCATATAAATATGTTACTTCCTATTTTTATATGTTACTACATACCTATTTTTATATATAGTTTTTATAACCTACAATTTTGCCATATAATTTTTTTCTGTAGGACTTTTAGTTTTGCCGGAAATCGAGAAAACCCATTTTTTTTGTTTTTTACCCTTAAATACCCATCCCCATACCCTTCCCGATCGCAGATCGCCCGTAAATTATTTTTCCTTTAATTTTTATAATATTCCCCTTCTTTTCTCATGAGTTTCATTCTATTATAATTTATTTTCACTTTTCATTACTTTTAAAGGCATTTGCACTGGCCTATTGTATTATATAATGAGTGGCGGCTTAAGACGTACGTACGTAAGCGTACTCAGACCTCCGGAGAGACCCGAGTATCCCCTCCCCCCAAGACAGCCACGGACGGCCTCCTGCCAGATCCGTGACCGTCTGACCCCCAGGGCTATTTTTTCAAATATTTCACCGGTTTAATTATTAGATAAATTCCACACCAATCGAAAGTACGGAGCCCATAGAATATAAAACGTTAGGTTGCCTATTCTTTTCCAGTCACAACTCTCGGGTTGCCAGGGATAAACAGGTACATAGATAGTAGCATTATGCACCGGTCTGATAATTTAATCAAATTTAAATGAAAACAAAGAATATTTAATTACGAACAAGGTAGTTTAGGGTTGCCTCCGAAAAATCAGTCCTAAATTAGGGTTGTCGATTTTTAAAGTTTAATATTTCTGCGATTGAAAATGTGCGACTGAGAGGTCCCAAGCAAAAACAATTAAAAAAAAACTCTATAAGCCTATAATTTTCAATTAATCTTAAATATGAAAGAATTAAATATATCATATACATAGTTTGGATAATCATTAATGATGTAATCTTATTTGCTACAAATTGTCTTTTTACTATATTAAAACAAACTGCTTCGTAATGTATTTACGTATGTAATGTGTATATAATAATAAATCAAATCAATAGAAAATAAAAGCATCATTAAAATATATATGAAACAAGACACTGAATTAGGTTTAATGTTGCTAATAGATAGTTATTACTCAAGAGGCTTAAGGGTTCATTAATTAAGTTTGAAATATAAGAGAGTCTAATGCAAAAACAAATTCATAGCTCGGATTTGAAACTTTGGACGTTATTAAAAAACTTTTAGAATGACTCTTTTGTAATTTACGTTTGAATTATGAAAACAATTTACCTTTAAAATTATAATGAAGTTGTTAAAATTTGTGTGTTCAAACCTACTTTAACTTCTACTTAATTGAATAAATTACCTTTTTTTAGAATTCATTTAAAATAATGTAGGTAACGGATCGCACTTACTCTATCATATGATTGAGATTAAATCCAATAGGAGCTAACTACAAGAAATATTAAGCACAAATATATTTGATTAACATTTATTTATACATAACTAACCTAATAAAGTTACTAGCTATAAAATAATACCGATCAAAGGATACAAAGTGATATATTTTTTTAAAGTTGCTCAATTTCTCCTACAATAGATATAACACGAAGATGTAAAAGTTTTTATAATAATTAAGCAAATATGAATACATATAGATGCAATGCTAGGCCATAAAAGGTGTTGAAATTACATACATTATTAGTATATGTAGAAAAGTAACAGAAATAAGTAAATAATGTTCTAAAGTTGAATTTTTTTTTAGATTTTTTCAGTCATACATAAAATGAAAATCAATCCGTTAAAACCTTATTAAATTACTTATTCGTGTAACTTAATTAAAAACGATATCTCACTATATATATTTTTTATTATAATTATAAATGCATTGTCGTACAGTCTAGAAAGAATTTACATAAACACATTTATACATATATAAGACATGTATGTCAGTTTGTTCTTAATTAGGCTAACCATCAACTTTTGATTTATAAATTCATTATGACAGATCAAAAAAGCCCTTGCTTTATTTGTATGTTTAAATTGTGATTACTAAATAAGATGAAAGGGTATTCGTTAATTCTGATTTATCTTTCCCTTTTCAACCTTATCTTTCTTTAATTTTGACTTGAATGTTTTGAATATCAAACGTTGATGGTACGTCTACTACATTAAAATAATTCACAAATCACAATATATACATTTAAAACATCTTAATATTAATATAAAATAATTTCATAAGAACGTCTCATGGATACATATATGCAATAATTATATTGCTTCCACGTTTTTTTTAAGTGAAAAACGAATATGCTACAATATAAAAAATTATATCCGTAATATATTGATTACAATCGATAATTGAGTTCCGGCGTACGCCAATAAGCAAAATATATTTTAATATATAATTAAAAAATAAATCTAACTATAAACAGTCATAACCTTAATAGCCTTCATATAAATGCTCAAAAGCCAAAACACTTCACAAACTAGCATGCATATAAAAAAAATCACAAAACACTACACTATACGAGGAAGATTGGCCAAATAAAAGAAATTACCACCAAGCGAAAAACGATCATAAAACGACGGGGAATAAGGTGCATTTTATACATTAACCACGGCAATGAATGGAAGCGATATTATATAGCATCAATCACACGTTTCAAACATTGCAGTAGCGTGCCTACTCTAGGTGCTTCGAAAGGGACAACCGATAAAAAAAGCGTACAAACAAAACGAAAAATATAAGTGCATCACGTCCAATAATTATATATAACAGATTACTACAATATTTTTTGCATTTTTTTTAATTTTTTTAAATGTGTAATCTAAAAAGTGTTCTATTTTACAGGTTCATTACTAGCAATGGAACGCTCCCATGCCTGCGCGTGCGCAGCCATTTGAGTATTCCATCACTGGGATGCGTACGCATCTACTATCCGAATAACGTGTATCAGCTGACATGAATTACGCACTTTCAGCAAAGAAAAATATGTCAAAACACTACGAACGTTTTTTTTTTCGACTTGCGACTAGTGAAATCAACTCTACATGACCATTAATCGATCTGTATTCTTTTAACTCGACTAGTTCGTCCCATGCACTATGTAGTATCACCTACGACACTGTTCGATACATTTATATATTTCTCGATATCATATAACCTGTATACGTATCAGAAACAACGATGTTTTCAACGTGTCAGATAAATCGATCCCAAAAATTAATATCTGTACTCCCTAAGAAACCTTAATTAGCCAATTTCTAAAATCAAAAAATTCGATTTCTTTATATATATACCGAAGGTTTAATTTTACAATGATAAGTTAATTTGAACGGAGACATGATTCAATACAACATAATTGAGTTTAGTTTTGAAATAATTGAATTTCATATGAAACCTATTAAGAGTATGTTGAATTATTATTAAAATAAACATATCTGAGAGATTAAAAGTTTGCTTCAAAATATTTGAATCAAATTTTTAATATATTTTGTATGCAAATGAATAACTCGATGAATCACATCTCCAGTAATGGTTAGAGTTGACTGTTGCAGCGCTATTCCGCGCCATCCTCACTAATTGTCTCGCTTGCTTTCTCTTGGGAAATGTTTTGACCTGAAATTACAATAATAATTTAAATTTATTTTCCTCCTACAGGTCAGTAAAAATAAATAAGACATAATTTATTTCTTGATTGAGGCAGTACGAAGTCTGCCGGGTCAGCTAGTCAAGAAATAAAAATTAAAAAAAAAAATTGCCAAAAAATTAAAGTTTTTAATTAACAAATAAAAAATAAGGGTTGATCTCAGAGGGGTGAAAATTTAGGGTTGTATTTATTTTTGTAGGCTGTGTCATAAAAAAATAAAAACAAAAAATTTTGCCTAAAAAATAAAAACAAAAATTTAGGGGTGGACTGGACTACCCTTAACATTTAGGGGGATGAAAAATAGATGTTGGCCGATTCTCTCCCCCGGTTAGTATCCTCAATAAGGATCACGAAAATCGTTCGAGCCTTTTCGGAGAAGTTCAAGTTCGAACACCGTGACACGAGAATTTTATATATTAGATATCCAGTGATGTTCCTAACTTCAAATAACAATGCATACCCAACATTTTTTATATTATGTCGTTATAATGAAGAGTTTATTTAAGATATTTCTGTATGAATAACCTTTTATGTAAGTAATAAATAAATAAATAAATAAATAAATAAATAAATAAATAAATATTAAGCATTATTACAATAAATTATAAACGTTACATTTGTTCTCCTCGATCTATGTTGACATTTTTTCACATCTAAGACTGTTTATTACAGACTGTTTGACATGTGGAAACAAAGGTAATAAAATAAAATATGTTAAAATAACACTTTATTTATATCCTTTATAAATGGTAGAAAGAATTTACTAGGTCTTTTGAATTGATGAATATATATACTATATTTATATACGGTAGTATAGTAGATGTATACTTAATATTACATACCCTTTTTCGCTGATGAAAGTATGCACTTCTTGCAGCTTATGAAGAAAAAGGAGACACGTTAGAGTTAGGTGTAGAGGGCGCCAGGTCCATGGTGCGGCACACCCAGCCCGCTATGTCCGCCGCGTGAGCATCCGCCATACGGATCCACTCGTGGTTCTGAACAAATATTTATTGTTCATAATTGTTATATATATAATTCGACATTATTCATAATTCCAATATTTATTACATTTAAAACTACATACTCCCGACGTTTATTTACTTTGGAGCAACCGTGATCGCGGGCAAACGATTGTTATTTATTGTTTAAAGTTGTGGTTCATGGTCAAAATCATTCATTATTTAAAATATGATTCATCGTTTATATATTGTTATTTTTCACTTGCAATGGCTATTCATGATTTAAAATTTTATTCAAATCTTGAAATTATTAGTTTCAGTTCGATTTACAGACTTACAAACGATCTGATGGTCACCCTAATTGTAACTGGCTAACGTCGACTAAAAAAGTGTGTATGGTTACATACTGGTGAGTTTAGTCGAAATAGGATTAATGAGAGAACTATTAAAGTTTCAAATTATTTGACTAAACCAGCCCCCTAAAACTATAGTGATAAATTTACCCATCTGTTTTAAACCTCTATATTTAAATACAAAATGCTTTAAATTAATATATATAGACATAGTCAGTCAGTGTAGATATTAGATAATTTTCTTCACAATATGTTCATTAAATTATATATGTATAATGTATATAATACTAAAACATATTTAGACCCAGTTTCACCAATCATTGTTAAATAAGTGACATCGTGTTAATGCGTTTGATGCTCTGTTAGATGTATCGAGCGTCCCACCACGCACAAATGTCTGTTTAAATATCTTAACCAGCCACTAATATTAATTCCTACTCTGGAGCTCGGTCTAATGGCTAACATGACTGTTAATGCATTGTCGAAACTCAATCGTCCAATCACAGCCCTCATTTCTTGTAACCATAGTAACGTCATCTGTTTTGTCAGTTTCGACTATTTCCTTGTACTTATTAAAAAAGAGAATTAAAATTTCATTTCCTATGATGATTTTGCCTCCAGCTTTTTTATAACTTGGCAAATTAAATTTTCTTTTTATCTCTTATAATTTGAACACAATTTATGCCTATATGTATTTATAACAAAATAATATATAACACAATTTATTGACAACCCGATTTTGACAGGTTACACCTAGTAAATTGAAAAGAAAGTTTTTTGTGTGCCACATGAATGTAACCAACGATATATAAAATTTGGTCACATTACCTAAAAAGTGACGTATCGAGGGATATATACGATCAAAGTATAAAGTGGTGCATCGTGGCAAACGTGCCGTATTAAACGCTATAGTTTCGATTTGGTCGTCTTATAACGTTATTATTTATCGTCGTCGTCGTCTATAATGTGTTGTTATTTTGTCATCGTGGGACATAAATATTTTAATAGTCATTTATAAGTTTGTAGGTTGGTTAGTAAATGCTGTGATTAGCTTATACAAACATTGATTGGTGAAACTGGGTCTTAATGTCATACCATGAGCGTTTTAAGATCAGCCCTCTCGTCCGGATTCTTCTTGAGACAGCGATCGACGAAATCTTTGAAGTCGTCAGAGAATATTCCTGATGGTAATTTCGGTGGCGGTTCGTTGACTATGTAGTCGAGTAACTCGAATATAGCCATAGGTCGAGGAGAGTTTGGAGCCTGGAAATTATATACAATACTATTATAATATATATACAAAAATAAATGTATGTTATATGACTGCTGAGTGTAATATATTATGGAGGGTATGAGAGCTCGGAAATTAGCAAGTTTTGAGGATCCATAGGAAATTTGATTTATTAAAATTGTAAACACATAAAACAATATGAAAATGAATGTTCGTAGAGTATAGAATAGATTCTTTACCACTTATATAAGTTAGAACAAAAACTGGATTTAAGTAGAAATAAGAAAGCAATAAAGTTATGCTTATTAAGAGATTTCACACTATTTCCTTACTGTTTTCTTTAAAAAATATACAGGGTGACTGGTGAATTACTATCGATACTTGAGGACAGTGGCGGCAGTACCTTAAGTGCACTCGTGCGCTGAAGCACCAATTCAAAAGATTTAAAAAATTACAAAATATTACTTCATCTTTATTTTTAAATTACCATTTTAATATTTATTTTTTAAACATACAAAAAGGTATAAAAAATTAAGTTTTCTAATTATAGTCAAAAAGTTTGTAAGCTTTACTAAACTAATATCTCGTGCGCTTCGGCGAGTGCAGAGGACTGCTAATACATCTTGTATGAGATACGCATTAATACGCCTGACGCGTGAAACAAAAGATAGTTCATAGAAAAGTACCGAGTAATGAGTCGGTTCTCGAGCGCCGCACGAGCGGCCGAAGATTACCGAGAGTACCCGATGTATGACGAATTGAGCCATGATTGACATCTCGTTATGTTTTGTTGCATTTTATAATTTTAATATTTTAGTAAAGTGCACCACAAGTTTTATAACCCACCAGCCGACACTGCTTGAGGACGTGATATTTGACGATCATATATGACAAAATAAAAATCAATATAACATAAATATTAATAAACTTCTATGTAAAGTTAACCAAAAGTTGTGTAATTAATTACGCATCGTGTGACCACCCTACAGATTAGGTATACACACACACACACACACACGCGTGCGGCGGCGTGGTGTTGTATCAGCACGCCGCCACACGCGTCCACACTTGGAACACTTGGAACGTATCCACGCTTTATTTATTTATACGGAAATTTGGTCAAAAATTAAGTACCTATTTTTTTTACATAATTCAAATGAGAATCATGTACCGAGTATTCTCCTTAAATATTGATAGTAATTCACCAGTCACCCTGTATATGTACGAAATATTTTATTTAAAAAATATATACCATACACAATGAATTATTATGTTCTGGAAATTCGATATTCAAAAAGAAAAACTTTATGGATATCTCTTTCGTAACAACATTCAATAATTATGAGTGTTGATGACTCATTTTTTTCCAGTTCTACACTAAATGTAGATACATATGTAAAAATTAGTTAACATATTGGAATGTCGATAACTATGAACAATGATGATTAATTAAATAAAAATAATTAAAGAAGTTTTTGAATCAATTCAATGTCTCATTTTTATCTTCTTCTACCTGGCAAATTCCCAGCTATAGCCAGGGTCTGCCTTACATTTTGTGAATAGTTTTGGCTATTTGTTTTTACGTCCGCCGCCTGCCTGACGTCAACTCTCTTTGGGAATGCATTAATCAGTGATGTCTAAATACTCTTAGAAAGTACATATGACTCGCAAAAATCACATTGGTACTTGCTCGGGCTAGGATCGAACCCGCGCCCTCGTGCATGAGAGGCGGGCCTTTTAACCACTACGCCAACACTGACATAAATGTCTCATTTTTATACCGTAATTAATATCAAAATGTTAGGAATGTTGTTTCCAATTTATGTATATAAATTTGATAAACAAATCACCTGTCCCGGCGAGTGATCTTCATTTTGACCACCGAAAATGGCGGCCAATGTTTTAGCATCCGGTGGAGGGATTGGATACATGCCAATGGCCATTTCAACAAGCGACAAACCCAACGACCATATATCAGATTGCACCGAATAATGTGTACCTTGAAGACGCTCCGGCTGAAATTTTATTTAATCTTATACATATAACTAATACATACTATACATTTAGGTGGTAAAGGTGAAAAAACATCATTTTCATGAAATGATAGATATATTAGAATAAGAAATAAACATAATGTAAAATTACTTAAACTCTACAAATGATGTAGATTCTTTTCTGTTAATACTAAAAACCAAAACTAAGATTTAATAGCAAAATAACTGTAAAATTTTCTTCTCTTGTCTTAATTCTTATTGTGTTCTTTTGGACAAATAATTATTAGAATTGTCAGCTAACATTTTACATATATAATTATAGGTGAAAGTTATAAATATAGCAATGGTAGTGTGGATTCTTACCGACATATAGCTTCTAGTGCCCACAAATGAATTTGCCATAGAATCAATAAGCTGGCCAGACACACCAAAGTCACATATCTTTATCTCACCATTACTATTCACCAATATATTGGACGGTTTCACATCACGGTGCATTATGGCGTGCTTATCGCGCAAATAACTCAAACCTTTGAGAACAGCTGATGTTATAGTTCCTGTGAAATAAAATAAATTCTATGACTAAGTTAATATTTTGATTTGTATATAATGTGTTCATAATTTGTGAAAAGACTATACTTAATACTTTACATTACTGTTAAGAATTTAGATTTATTATAAAAAAGTCTATCTCTTGCATGTTAGATATATGTGCATTGGCTTTTATTGTGTTACATAATGCAATACCGACTCTTCCTTATATGTTGTCACATTACTATTGTTTCAAATGCAACAGTAATCTTAACAAATGCTTTAGTATGACATATATATACATATATCTGTCCTCTTTTCATATATAAAGATAATAAAACACTACAATTATTAATGATACCTTCAATCGTATAATAAGTTCTTATAGTGTTTATTATCTACTTATAAAAACCTTCTACAAGTCAGAATATACACTTAACAATGTGTCCTTTATTTAATATGCAGAAAAAAGGATTAAATGTTTATTTTATACAACCTACTTCTATGTTACAACAATCTAGAATATGAATTTACACATACCTAAAATGGACTCTGGAATTCTTCCAGCTTTTTTCAATATCAAATCTAAGGAACCGCCATCCATATATTCCATACAAATAGATATTTCCCCATCACTATAGAAAGCTCCATAGAAGCCAACAATGTGAGCAAAATTGCATTCATGAAGCACTTTTAGCTCCCTGATGATCTGTTTCTTAATAGCCGGCTTCACTTCCAGATGTATTAATTTCCTTGCCATTATAAGCCCAGTAGACTTATGCCGGACTTTCATGACTACACCTCCATTACCTTGCCCTAAATTTAATCATAAATATTAACTTGTTTTAGTATAATTTAGGACTATTATTGAACTAATTGTTTCAATTAACTAAAATAGTGTACAAAAAGCATTAAAATTAACCTAATTCTCCTAGTTTTTCAAAATCATCATCACTGAGCTCTCCGATCTTTTCCTTTTGACAAAGAAAAACTTCTATTCTACGTCTCTGGTTATCATCCATTTCTATTTGTTCCAGTCTTTCAGTGAGTGCTTCAATGCTAGTTTTAGACTTCCCAGCTAAACCCTGCCGTCTAAAAACAATGTAAAAGAAAAAACTTAGTGTACCAATAATTGCAATATTATTTTTCTTTACTGAACATACTTTGGATTAAAATTAATCAATGGGTACATTAATATTTATAATAAATGTTTCGAAACATCTTTCAGACTTTGAATATGCTTTTATATGCTTAAAGTAAGCTGTTCACTTACTTGAACAAGAAATTGCTTACTAATTTGTAATTAACTACTGATAGAATAATGATAATTGAATAGAATTCCAACATTCCCTCTTATTAAACATGAGTTAAGATGACTAATATTATTAAATAATTTAAATATTAAATGCCGAAATAAAATGTCAAAATTCACTTACTCAGTTGCTGTTGCAGATTTCAGCTGTGGGGTCATATTAGACGGTGTTATAGCCGGAGCTGTGTCTATAGACCCTGGTGGAAGGGTCAAGTTTAATTTATTCTTAGACATTTTGCTCATCTTGACTACACCTGTATCACGGCATTTAATAAAATTATCGATACGTATAAAAGGAAATCCGATGAATCACTGCACACTTAACTACAAAGTATAAAAACATTCATTCGCAACGACACTCAATAATAAAGGATAAGCTGCTTTCCTCAAGGAGGAATACAGAATCGGTATATTATATACGCCTTCTATAATCACTACTAATCTATGTCCGATTTTCAGATAATCGTTGATGAGGACTGCAATTTGACGTTAGATTACGTCACTGGAAAGACTGATTCTGTCAAATGTCATTATTTTATAGAGAAAACTCTTGAAACTTAAATACGCTGTACCTTTTTGAAAAGTATGGGCTTACCAATTTTAAAACTATTATCCTGAAATCACATTTTTATTATCTAGTTTTCCCTAATATAGAGTATAGATATCGTTAACAGAAATATTTTTAAATTTTTTATTGCTAAAATCAATCACACCATATTATTTGTTTATTTCTTTTCAAAACATTAAATCCGATATCCTTCTTTTGTTAATCATATAACTAAGTACCTAGTAGAAGTTTAAACGTCACAAATATAAACGTCCATTTTCATCCCCACACAATAATACAGCATACACAGTTCTATCAGTTCAATATATGCTTTTGAAAATTAGTTGCTAGATTTCACCCGAATAAATTACATATAACATTTTATTTTATTTTCCCTTTTTAGTAGCTTATTTCAATAAACTTGTTTACTTTAAAATGAGATATGTCGAAGATCACATCAAATACGACAGGTGTTAAATATTTTTAACATATACAGGGTGACTGGTGAATTACTATCGATACTTGAGGACGTGATATTTGACGATCATATATGACATAATAAAAATTAATATAACATAAATATTAATAAACTTCTAAGTAAAGTTAACCAAAAGTTATGTAATTAATTACGCATCGTGTGAACACCCTACAGATTAGGTATACACTCACACATACGCGTGCGGCGGCGTGGTGTTGTATCAGCACGCCGCCGCACGCGTCCACACTTGGAACACTTGGAACGTGTCAACACTTTATTTATTTATACGGAAATTTTGTCAAAAATTAAGTGACTATTTTTTTTACATAATTCGAATGAGAATCATGTACCGAGTATTCTCCTTAAATTTTGATAGTAATTCACCAATCACCCTGTATATAGGTACTACTAGCTTTCCGCCCGCAGCTTCGCCCGCGTGGATTTCGGTTACATCGCGTTTCCAAGAGAATCTTTCAAAAGTCTGGGATAAAAACTATCCTATGTTCTTTCTCAAGGTCAACTCTATCTCTGTACCAAATTTCATTAAAATCAGTACAGTGGTTTAGGCGTGAAAGCGTAACAGACGGACAAACATACAGAGTTACTTTCGCATTTATAATATTAGTAGGAATAACTCAAAAAAGTTAATGGTTTTTTGAACATATTTTTATTAATGGAATTATTATAAATCATACACGGGTATTACATACGTATTTATACGGAGATTGAAACAAAGTTATATATTTTATAAATTTCTCATAATCGTATTTTCCAAATATGATCTTAAATAAATTAAATTTATATTAAAGAATTAAAAACCGGTCCTAGTGTTCTGGCAAGCTGTTAAAAGGATGATTTGGAATAAAGTATAACTATAATCACAAGTAAGATTTGAGTTTTGACCGGCATTTTCTTCAATTTATGTGAATTTTCAAAGCCAATACCGATAAAAATTATTTAATGAGTTATTGTTTTTAACGCTTTAGATTTCGTTGATTGCCAAATAAAATATTGCATTATTACAAATTACTGAGACATGATTTAGTATTTTTTTGTTTATTATTACAATATTGTAATGTACATTACAACTCTGAAAGGATATTCTGAAAACAGATAAATTATATAACGCAGTATTGTTAAATTTATTATTGACTATTTAAAAAAATGGAAGCTATTTTATTCCGGTATTCGGTAGATATGGTAATTCAAATTTAAATGACGCTTTCAATTTGTCTTGTCTCTGCTGATACTTTTTACCAGCATTTGCTCCATTGATGACTCAAAATATTAGATTGTAATGCAATATTACTAGTCCTTATTTGTAGCAATATGTATTTTATGAAGAACTTTTAGTGTTACATATATATAGAGTACTTTCCAGTGGTGATTCGGAGGAAAGCAGATCTTACGAAAAAGTTGTTCACATTATAGCTTCAGTAACAGACTATAATTTATGCCACAGAAATATAAAATATGTTATTAAAAGAATTATATTGTTTGAAATTGAGTTATCGACATTCATGATGAAAGGTGCAAATTATTTAGAAAGTAACAAAAAGTAATTTTATATTTTAATAATATATATTTTAAGTTACAAAAATTGATACTATTATATTTACAGGAGCATTAAGTGTATGATAAAAATACTTGTTCAAGGAAGTATATTAAAAACTAGTAGATTCATACTATTCTAGAGTTAGGATTGCTTAATTAATAAAATATTCCTTTTAAATTAGTATTTTGCCAATATTGTAACTTTAACAAATATTAAATATTTTAAAGACTGACAACAGAGTTATGAATGTGGAGCTCTTGCAAGTAATAATATTAAAATATATAATATATATCAAGTGGTATCAAACCATAATATATTCAATTAAAATTAATACCTATTAAATAAACATCACTTAAACAAAATAGTCCAACATTCAGTATATATTTCATGAAGTCTTTAATTTTGACAGAAAGTAATTTATGCCGGGCTGATTCTTTTTTGGATCTGTCACAGTCTTTTTGGCCTCATTTTTAGTGTTCTTTGCATCTTTATCGTCATTTTTGGACTTTTTCTTTTTATCTGTTTTAGGACTCTGGTTTTCTCCTTCGGGATTCTTTTTCTTTTTGGTCTTTTTCTTTTCGGGTTCTTCAACTTCTGGTGCTGGTTGTAATACTGGGGATGGATCGATTATCATTGAGAACTTCGAAATATAATTCCATAGAGCTTCAGCGCAGTTTTCAGGTTTTCCTCCTTCCGGTTTCTCCCACAACAGCCCATATAACCTGGGTTTCAATTTTTCCATTGGCTTTTTCATTTCAGACTCAAATTCGTCTTCTAGATACTTCAATTTCGCTTTTTGTGCTTCAGGCGAGAGTGAGAGTACATCGTCTTCGTCCATTGTTGCCTCCTGAAATAAATAAATGAGATTTTATTAGTAATGCCAAACCTTATAGAAAGAATTCATAACTGCTACTTAGCTCATATATGTATAATTGAACAAATATGTTTCAACCTTTCAAAGACAATGTTTTTGTTGGTCAAACCTATTATATACCAGTAACAACATATGACATTATAAACTAAGATCCACAAAAATTTACTTCACATAAAATTATTGTGAAATTACAAATAATAATTAGTCATATTAAATCAGAAAATCCAACATATAAGTTACATTTAGTATTAATATTCAATTGAGAGTAGACACCCATACCCAACTTATGTAATATATATTTTCCTTATAAATAATAACAATTACAGTTTGATAAAAGAATTCTCATTTGTTATAAAAAAGAGCCTCTTTATTGTGATTTTCATTTATTTATTTGTATATCCATTTACCTCATCACTCAAGTAGCCATGTGGTACAAACACTTCATTGTCTACTTCATATTCATCTGCTTCCTGTTCATCATCACTGCCCGCTGCACTGCCATCAATACTCTCTCCTTCTTGTTCCTCCTCCCATTCTTCATCACTATCCACTTCATAGTCCAATAGTTTCTGTAAATTTTATATATATTTCTTAAGGATAATGCTAACATATGCCTTTTAAAGTTCGCATCATCACAGCACATATCAAGCTCTGCCTGTGTTTTATATAATAAGCTATGTTAATAGTGCAATGTGTAAATATTTATTAATGAAACTATTACGACGATAATGAGTAAGAAAGTGTACAGATTACAATATGGACAATTATTCAATTACATTATCAGTTTTAAAAGGTCTCCTTGGATTAATTGATGCACTCTTCTTCCTCCAGGTACCCCAGTAAGGTGGACGTCTGTTTTCGTGGAATGAAAGTAGTTTAGGACGAAGTTTCTCTTGAATAACTGGTTCACATGAAAGTATCTCACCGATGCCATCTGCTGGTGGTAATTCATCCTCTGAAAGATTTTAATATATTGATTATTAAAAAATTAATATAATTAATTATAATGAACAGTGATGTACTGGAGAGTCAATAAATTATATAAATTTTAAATGAAACTAATCTTTTTCGGATTGTTGTGTAAAGCAACTGAAAGGTCGCGAATATGTAGTTTTTATAATAATAAAATACGCGTAGCATAATCCGAAAAATATTACTTTCATTTAAAGGAATAATCGCGAAAGTCTTGGATCTCATCATATTAAATTCAATTGTGATTTGTGAATTAAATCTTTATATTTAAAGAGCAGTGTTAATTACACTATTTATTATTCTAAACGGCTGTAAAGTTTTGGCTGAAAATTGGTGGAGAGATAACTTAGAACAAGGGGAGAAAGGACATAGTATACTTTTCATCCAATGAAAAGAAAAAAAAAGTTGATCAAATACAAAATCTTCTTATCTAGTCTTTAAAGAGGAATGGAGTTCACTCAATCAGCCATACATTTCTTATTCTGATTCTAACGCAGACGAATTCGCTCGCAAAAACTAGTGGTGTACGGAAAAAGTAAATTTTTTTTAAAAATGGTGTTAGCTTATATAATATTATAAAACATATTCAAGTATAAGTAACATACCAACTATCATAACATCATCATCATCATTTTTATCACAGGGAGGCCAAGTTTTTCCACTTGATAAAGGCTTCCTTTCCTTCAATTTTTTCAAATATAAAGAACTTTCTGGAACATTTTGATTGCCAAGAAAGTCATCCAATTCCTTTTTTGAATCTTCTTGTAACTGAATTCTTACAATCGGCGCTAATCTCATATCAGACTTTATTGTGAAACTCGACAACATGTTATTTCTCATGGGTCCTATAGTGACTTGATCCTTTTCACTCTTTTGCTTTGCAACAAAAAAGCTGGCGAAAGCCTCTGCTGCTTTTTTCTTTTTCTGTTCCTGTTCCAATTTTTCCTGTTCTAAAAGTTCCTGTCGTTTTCTTTTCTCTTCCTCTTTTGCTTCCTTCTCCCTTTTCCTTTGTTCTTCCTTTTCCTCCTTTTCTTTACGTTTTTGTTCTTCTTTTTCTTCTTTCATCTCTGAAAATATGATTTTTGTTTTGTAGAATATCATAGCATTTCATTTTTATCACATATTTATTATAAATTAAGAGATGTATTTGACTTTAAAAAATTCTTCAAACTTATTAATCAATAATGTTCAATCGTGAAACATAACTAAAAATAAAGGATATAAAACATGAATAACAATTACTTTTATCGAACTTACTTTTTTCAAGTTCCCTTTGTTTCTCTTTTTCTTCCTTCTCTTTTCTTCTTTGTTCCTCCTTTTCTTCTCTTTCCTTTCGTTTAGCCTCTTCCTTTTCCTCTCTTTCCTTTTTCCTTTGTTCTTCTTTCTCTAGCTTTTGTTTAATTCTATCCTCTTTTTCTTGTTGCCTTTTCCTCTCCCTTTCCAATTTTTCTTTTTCTCGTTCTTCTTTCTTTTTAGCAGATTCAAGCTTTTTCTGTAACTGTAACATATTAGACTTATTTTAGATAAATATTTTGTATACATTTATATTTATGTAGTTATTATTAAATGATACTTAACTGGGCGGCGAAATAAAAGGAAATAATTTATATTTTTCATTTAAAGGACAAGCTCAGTATGATATAAATAAAACCATTTTACTTGATATTCAATAACTTTTGTTATTAATCTTAGCATTAGAATTTATCTTACTTGAATGCACTTTGTAATGATTTTCTTGTTAATTCAACATTATGAGAATACTAATAACAACAATATGAAGCAGAGGATGCAATATACATGTTTATAATTTTTAAATAATTAAAAAGTTAATATTTCCACTCAAATACAATTTCTTTATACCAAGATCTTTTCAAAAACATATTTACCAGGTTTACTTCACTATTTGCAAATATAATTCGTCTTAAAGTTGTTGTTATTTTAATAAAAAAAAATCAAGATCCAAAATTATTTAACAATACACTTTTTTTATATTAATTGAATATCTATTGTCATTTATTTTTAAGTAATTATTAAGAAAATTTTATAATTCAGGTAAAGTATATTCTATATTAAATAATATATAAAGACTTACTTGTTTTGGTGTAACACTTGTGTTAGCACTTTCAGTAGTAGAAGTGTCCCCTTGGCTATTCATTGATATATTCCTTCCTGATCGTCGCGGAGTTGACGGTGAAGTTAATGATTCATCACAGTTACTGATTTTAGAAGTATTCAGATTATCGTCCGGTTTTGATTTGTTTCTCACACTTCTTTTAGGTGTTACACTTAATTTAGATTTATTTTCACTGGTAGTCTCTATTATTGATACATCATTGCTAATTTCGTCTGAAATATGGTCATCTTTTGAAGTAGATATAGAAGACTCATTGTCTTCAATACCCTTTGAAATTTTATCACTGTCTTCATCATTTTCAGTACTATCAACATCTTTTTCTACAGTAACATCATTGTTACTGGATGCATTTTCTTCATCTTGATTTTTTGATTCAGTTTCTACCTCAACATCAACCTCCATAGCTTCCTCCTTTTCAATTTTATCGGCGTTTTCATTATTACCATTCTCATGATTTTCTGAAGAACCATTAGCTGGTTTTTTTGGAGTGTTTTTCCTTTTTTTGGAACTTTTCGATTTCTGTAGCTTTTTTTTCCTGGCAATATCTACTAATTTCACCAATGGATTGAGAGATTTTGGAGGTTTTGAATTCTGTACAGCCTCCTTACTATCATCGTCACTTATTATTACTGCTTCATCACATATTTCCTTATCATTTGCAATTTTACCAATTTTTGAGACTGGTTCCGGGTCAGGAACAGATAGCTTTCGCTTCCTAGATGGTGGAGTCACTGGTTTTGGAGATACTTCACTTAATAACTTAAATGGAAGACGAGCTTGTTTCAAAACTTTTTTTGATGGTGTTACTTCTTCACTATCTGATGACTTGGGAGTTTTCATGGCTTAAAATTTATATATTTAAACTATACAGCTACTTTAAACGTTGCTGTATATTATTTAATAAATATATCTGTAAGTTTAAAAAAATTAACACATTGCAAAGCACAGTTTAGTTAGTAGTTTTTACTTTGTGTTTGACAATCACAAAAACCGCGGGAGACTGACACGTTTGGATATTTGCAACAGATATCTACAAAAATCACAAATAATTGTAACATAAACGTTTACTTTTATATTATTAAATTAATTATATATATAATAAAATTAAAACAAGCAAAAAGTTTGACTAATTCACAAATATATCACTTTATACTCAATTTTTTTTATAATTATTACAATATGTTATAACACAATGCTAGGTATAGTAAGATTGTTTATGGTTCCTTTGTTATAAGGATATTTTTAAAAATATATAGAACATAGATTTTTAAGAATAAAATTGACGTCAGTAAACGAGTCATTACATTGTCAACATACTAATTAACTGAGAGAATGACCAAATTTAGAGACGTTTCTTATGGATTGCAAAAACTAAGAGACTTTTTATTGGGAAGAAAACATATTCTTCACGCTCGATTTCTACCGAATATAGCTCCACGAACCATACCTACAGCTGATCTCCCTAGAGGACCAGACACTCCGTACTCACAGAATTACTACTGTCGAAGAAATGTTTTTCATTCCGTACATCCTCCGGTCGTAGCACCAATAGCTGAAGGGCCGCCTCTCATTCAGGATCCAACCCAAAAAGTCAAAGTCGGCGGAGTTAGAGCGGATGCGGTAAACACATTACATATTATTTATACATATAAGAATAAAAATAATTACCGTTGTTTTATATTGTTAGAAAGAGACAGAGAGAGTTTTAAGAAAATTATCATATATTTTTCAGCTTTTGTTCGACTTTGCCCCAACCCCTGGCACTCCTTGGTGGTGGGATGGTCATTTCTACTATGAGCTAGTGCCCGATCCACCCGCTTCTCCTCCGCCAAAGGCCTCACAACCAGATCCTTGTGCTCCTAAAAAGTAGTTTCTTAGTACATGATAATGTTTAAAAATATGAATTGTTTACATTTGGAATTAACACCTTCAAATATTAAATAAAGTATTTACCACGAGTATGCTAATTTCAAATAGCCTAAAAATGTTTTTTTCATTTGTTACTCTATACTAATCTCGTTTTTTTTTCGTATTAACATTTTTCTCATCGTTCAAAACACTGTTCTAATGACTTTTTGAAAAAAAGTTGGGTTGCAGATAACTGTAGATAATTAAAGGAGATAATTTGTTTTCAATAAAGATATAAGCAAACTAAAAAAAATATTTTCTAATGCACATAGCATTTGAGTACAGTTTTTACCTAAACGTAATATACAGGGTGACTGGTGAATTACTATCGATATTTGAGGACGTGATATTTGACGATCATATATGACAAAATAAAAATTAATATAATATAAATATTAATAAACTTCTAAATAAAGTTAACCAAAAGTTATGTAATTAATTACGCATCGTATGAACACCCTACAGATTAGGTATACACACACACTCACACAGACGCGGCGGCGGCGTAGTGTTGTATCAGCACGCCGCCGCACGCGTCCACACTTGGAACACTTGGAACGTGTACACACTTTAATTATTTATACGGAAATTTGGTCAAAAATTAAGTACCTATTTTTTTTACATAATTCGAATGAGAATCATGTACCGAGTATGCTCCTTAAATATTGATAGTAATTCACCAGTCACCCTGTATAATAAGACGGGAAAACATTTTTTTTTACGTATTATAGTAATTTAATTAGTGATATCTTGGATACAACGTTTTATGTTTTTGAAAGTAAAGAAATACATATAGATAAAGAATATTCCATATAAATTAAATAAAGATTTTTAATTGACAGAGTTTTCGATCGATAACTAAGTATACTGGATTTTATTTCACAAATATTAAGGGTAATTTTTCGAATAATTCGAATTCAATTATTTCAACTGGAATACTTAGTTATTAAATAGTTATTTTTCTATAGTCTGGTATTCATTTGGAAAAAAACGTAATTAGGGTATCAGTGTTAAAATACAATTCACCATTGAGATAAACAAACCGTAGCCATTAGCTTGCGAAACAAAAAGTTATTTGTTTAAACAAAATTCCATTTGCATCTACAGGGTGACTGGTGAATTACTATCGATATTTGAGGACGTGATATTTGACGATCATATATGACAAAATAAAAATTAATATAACATAAATATTAATAAACTTCTGAGTAAAGTTAACCAAAAGTTATGTAATTAATTACGCATCGTGTGAACACCCTACAGATTAGGTATACACTGACACTCACACATACGCATGTCGTGACGTGTTGTTGTATCAGCACGCGTCCACACTTGAACACTTGGAACGTGTCAACACTTTACTTATTTATACGGAAATTTTGTTAAAAATTAAGTACCTATTTTTTTTACATAATTCGAATGAGAATCATGTACCGAGTATGCTCCTTAAATATTGATAGTAATTCACCAGTCACCCTGTATAAACAAAAAAGTATACATAAAATTTATCACAATCTAAGTAGCGATAAGAAGTTCTCAAATTGAAATCCGGACTGAGACATTGTCATAAAAATAAAGATAGATCAATATCCATATTATTGAATGAATTTCAAAATTCAAGGGCTGTCTAAATTTAGTGTTTATTAACCCCCAGACTAGAGATTTACATTCTAAATCGTTCACGTTTAATGATTACCATCTCATTTCTCATTTACCGAGGCAGTACTCCGAACTAAGTAGTCTCGTCAGCGCATGAGCGAAGATTCAAAACCGTCCCAGACGACAGTACCTTCGCTGGCGTTGTAAATGCCACACGCATTACGCTCACTATTCCACCGTGAGAACAGCTATGAATGGCCATTTCACATTCCCGCCAAGTGATTTCTAAATAAACAATCAGATCCCAAAATTATCTTGGCATAAGTCGATGTCGTGAAAAAATTTATGAGCTATTTTGTTTAATGAGTTCGTGAATAGAACCACCTGTAAAACTTTGTTAAGGAAACATTAAATCGTTCAAAATGAGAGAGGAATCTGATACAGCGGCCTTGAATGAAAGGATATTGGAATTCAAGAGTGATCCAGATAAACTTCGTCAGGCCTCTGAGTTTGTTGACGAACTGATACAGCAAGCGAAAAAAGAGGCTGAGCTTAAACAGAAAGATAAAGAGAAAAGCAAATTTGTAAGTATTAATGTATATTTATGCCCGTAAGGAACGATATGCGGATTTGATAGGGCGGTAAGTGTTTAAAATGGAGTAGTGCTGCTGTAGAATGCGAAATAGCTTCTTCGGTAGTGACGCTGTCATTTTCAATAAATCTTCAACACTATATTAGAAACACGTCTGCATGCTTATCACATTTTTCAAAATCATTAGTACTTTAAAATTTTACACATGACAGCGAACAATAAATAAATAATGAATATTTAATGTTCATAAAATAATTCAGATCAGGTTGTTGAAAATTTGAATTTTCCCTGAAATTATTATTAAACATTATTCCCTTTGTTAAATTCTATACGAGATTTGTTTAATCACTAAAATACAATACTATGTTATGTCACTTTTGTTCTGATTGATGGACAATCTAATTTTTTTTGTGGGACGAGATATATGACATTTCGGAGATTAGCGAGCAATCGGCTTAGGGTTATCAGATAAAATGGATAAAGCGGTTTTTTAAACGTTAGTGACAGATATGAATTAGATCAATAATTTTCTACCATGTACCCACCCTACACATCATGTGTTTAACTATAAACATTTTAAGCATCGGAATGAATAGTATTGATTAAGTATGTCTTAAGTCTTTAACACACGAGGGATGGAAATGAAAATAAGAAATCATAAACTATTTATTAGAAAACTGATTCTAGGAGAGGTGGGATACGTTTATTGATTTCATCACCGGGCTCGGCATTAATTAAATGAAATACAGTTATTCATTATACGCAATTTAATGGTAATAAAATTTAATTAAGCATATTTTATTAATAATAATCAGTTGTTTTGAATAGATTACGACATTTCTTATAATATAAACAGATTTTATATAATAAACAAAGATTATTTATACTCAGTGCACTTGCTTGCTGAATGAATTTATCTTATTAATTTACTTATTTTAATAAGAACACATTATTTTGCACATTACTTTCAATATATTATTCTTGTACCATAAAATAATTTTGTTTAGTCACCAAATTTTTTATAATTAACTCTAATAATCATTCAAACGGCGGTAGCTAATTTAATAATTATTAGACTTTAAAATGCTATAAATTTATACAATGTACATTATACATAAAACTAGTTTAATGTCACTCTTCTTTTTACATTTTTATACATAACAATTAACAATACGTACATGTGTATTAATATTCCTTCTTTATAAAACTCTTGTAGTACAATAAGTACTACAAAAAAGTCAAGCGAATAGTCATTTTTAATACGGTTATAATTTCTACAAACCATAATCTGATTCGACGATCAATCATTGGTCCTAAGTCGGAATAAGCTCTCCGATAAGTCGGGAGTAATTAACCTGAATCACCAATGATTGTGTTGCATTAGGTTTGTTTGTTAAAGAGAGATTAGCAATAAAGTGCTTCAGTTGTTAACCATTATTTTTTTTCTATATAATGTTTACAAATCGTTCGAAATATATAACAAGGCATAATACTTGATAAATAACAATTTTTTAACTTATTTTACGGCCTTATCGATTGGCCAGGTGAAATTAAAGTCAGTTTTTTTGTATTTTTGTCTTTAACAGTTTCTTTCATTAGCGGGTTTTGAAATACACAAAAATATGTACATTTTTATCTCAATAAAAGTGATTCAAACTCTAAATTAATATCGATAATCAGCTAATACTCAGTTAATTGATTTTATTTACAGTTTAAACGGTATATTTTCAACTGAAAAAATAATGACAGATTAAAAAAATAGAATAATAGAACTAAAGAATAGCAAAATCATTATGAAATATATAAAATAAAATTAATAGCAATAAAAAAACACGTTTTATATTCATCAAATATTATATAATTTAAAGTCTTTCAATAAATGAATTTATCATTTCAACATCGTTTATTTTAGTATTTATAAATTGCCGGCTTCTGCAATAACAAAAGATTACAAATCATTGTTATCAACGCTGATTTTCATTTGCATTTTCTTTGTTACAGGAAACTCAAGACTCTGGCGTTGGTGAGTAATATTTGAAATACGTTCGTAATATCATTAACAGCTTCATTATATATACAATAATATTATTATTATACTTAATAAGGTCTTTGTTTTCGTTGATCTGTAAGAGGCTTTCATTATGGACGTTAAGTAGCGCTTTACTAACTTTTATATTAAATAGCTGCTTATAATTAAATGTGCGAGTGACGTTAATAGATTTATACAAACTTATAAGTATGGTATTAATTACTTTTTATAATGTTTCCAGTTTGAATTAATTCATAAACCTAAAACTATATAAATATGAGAATGAACCCACATTATTAAATTAAATAGGTATTTTAATACCATCATGACATAAGATTTTATTCTTCATTCGTTTGTTTTTGATAAAGAAGCGATATTAATATGTTTACATGTATATAACTAATTGTTCTGTTTAGAATTATAAGTTAGTTTTATACTTGCTTTTAAACGTAAATAACGAGTGTAAATATAGTATGTAGGTTAAAATAACGCACTATTGGAAACGGAAATGAGTAATCAGGTAACGACGATAGAGAATTGTGTCCGTCAGTGCCACGAGGAGGTAAAATTATATAATTTACCATAATAGAGCGATACGCCAGTATCTTCATACTTTTATACACATGCATATTTTGCAGTGTAGAAGAAAGTATTTAGGACCAGCTAGGAACAACGACTTAATTTTCCAATTATTTATAAACCATTTATTTATTTATTCATATGAACATAAATATATATAAAATTTTTTCTTTAACTTCAGTTGGATTAAAAATTCTTCAATAACGCAAAGAAAGTACCGTCTTTAAATAATCCATCGACAAAAATAAACAACCCCACTTAATACCCTCGTGATATCTACATTCATGATAACATATGGAAAAAGACGTCCCCTTCAAAGGTATTACTCAGTGAAAAGGCTGTATGTATTCATACTTTTGCCTGTGAATAAAGAAAAGTCAATGTTTGTATTTTAAAAATAGAACACAAAAAATATTCAGACCCATTCTATTATTACAGATAAAATGTTCGCACATGCTTTCACAAAGATTAAAGACTTGTGGTGGGAATTTTTCTCTATTTGAATGAATCATTCATATTTTACTTAGCTTTCTCTTGCAACGCCCTGAAATGAATACAAAGTAGATTTTTTTATAACGAAACGGTCATAAAAATATTTATTATGAGGATATGCAGGGTGTGGTTGAGGGCTAGTCCGAATTTCAAGGAAAACATTGAAACTTACCTACTTAGAAATATAATATAAATTAGTAATTCCATCACCAAAACTTATATCATACAAGGTAAAAGGAGTCTTCTGGTTTACTCGTAGAGGAATTTGTTCCGTGGAGTCAATAACGTTATATAAAATTTAAAGAGTTACTCTTTATATGATATTTTATCCATATAACAGTTTAGCAACGGCATTGTTCGTGAAATTTTCAATATATATGTACATATTTTTACGTAATGGCATGTTTTGTATGTAAATATTTCTCTAACTACTTCTATTATTTTATTAATTTCTAAAGTATCTGTGTATTTTAGAATTTAATTTACGTTTATTCAAACACTTTTCAGCGCCCCTTTCATTTTAATACGCCTCTCGATGGGCTTGATGAAAAAACTTCGAACTCACATTTAATTGATTGAAAGCAATCAATTTTCTTTTATGAAAGTTTTATAGATGAGAGTAGTAACTACTTTTTTCTAAAACATGTAAAGGCTTATTTTTGAGTCACAAAATTTATTATATACATTTGAGGCTTAATAATCGTTTTTAAATCAAAAAAGCCTCATTACGAACTAAATACAAAACAATTAAAATATATTTAAAGAATCGTAATCAATCTTAGGAGTAGTTTTTATTATATTTGCTTTTATATTTATTTATACATTTTTCTCGTAACTTTTATATGTCATTTGTTTTTCTTAGTATAATTTATTATTAGCAATCTTATCGCTGAATATTCTTCGGAGAGCATACTGATAAGGAGGTTTTATATCTTAACTAAATGGTAGCAACTGCCCATTTTCTTATCTGCTAGTGACATTATGCCAGCAATGGCAAGCTTGTTTATAAACTAAATACCTACAAAAGATATTACACATAAAATTGAATACTACTATAGTGTTTGCTTTTGTTTTTTATGAAGCTCTTAATTTGAGTTGTCATCATCGGCCTATCAGAGCCCACTGCTGAGCAAAGGCCTCTTCTCATATGGAGAAGGTTAGAGCATTAATCCACCACGCTTGCCCAAGAGGGGTTGGTGACTTCAAACTTATAATTGTAAAATTATAAGTCCAGGTTTCCTCGCGATGATTTCCTTCACCGTCTATCAGTGGTGTCTAAATACTTTTAGAAAGTACATATGATTCGGAAAAATCACATTGGTACTTGCCAGGAGCGAACCCGCGCCCTCGTGCATGACAGGCGGGCCTTTAACCACTAGGCCACCATTTTAGTTAGGAGTTGAAATATTAGTCCGATAAAAGATGCCAAAGGCATTAAGAACTTTATGTCATTTTCGTTAGGAAAATATGTTTTTAAAGAAAAATTACGTAGATAAAATTGAAAATACATCACAGCTAAGACAAATGATTTAAACAAAAGTTTGATTACAATTTTTTTCAACTAAATTATTTGAAGTGAATTTTTCACGGGAGGTTTGGAACCCAGGTGGCCAATGCAATTTAATTTTCGGCACGCTTCGGAGTATCGAATAAGTTTTCCGGTATTTCGTAATCGCCTTCAGGGACGGCCTAATATAGTATATTTAAATTTTAATCGACATAACAAGTTTCAATATATATATGTATAACGTAAAAAAATACGATAAAAAAAACTATGAGCATGCAATCCCGCACTTGGAATAAAATCTCACTCCTCAATATGAAATTGTATTCGTCAGTGTAATAAATGATATTTTTTAAGTTATAAGTATATAAAAAATAATACCATTAAAGTAGATTAATAAATGAAGAGCGCTGAAAGTGCTGGCGTTTAATATTATGATGACAACTCTCAGTACACATTTACAATTCAAATGGGCATTAACGTTTTCAAAATTAATTTATTGTACGAAACAGCGTACATAGGTATGCGTATTAAGATTCACTCATAACATTGCCACCAGCATAATACTGTCTGAATTCAAATGTACCAAAAACGATTACTATCAATTTACGTAACAAATGATATTCACTATTGTGACGCATGTCACGAAAATGTAAATCGCACATGCAACAAACGTAGTAGACAAAGATATTTGAAAGCCTTCACCCCATTGCTATATGAATGTAGGCCTTGTCGATATATAAAACTGATACATAATATTACGTATCAATAATATAACAGTCATTTGCCTCGTCTGTTTGTATGTACCTATTAATAAACTTGAAAAAAAACAGAACTAACTTTTCCTTGGCTTTAATTAGTAGGGGAATCAATTGACGAGTATATTTTATTTCTATAATGCTGTGTTATTGATTAAATTGTTTGAAACATGTCAGTATAGGTTTAAAACATTCAAATTATTGTATTGTATTTTGTACTGAGTTAGTATTAAGATCCAAAGTGAGAACTTCAAATTTAGTTCATAATTAATACTTATTAATTATACCAACGCTATAACGTCAGTCGGAGGGCAACGCGTAAAGATTTTTATACCGTTAACTTCAATTTACATGCTAAGTAGTTCAGAAAGGACGTTATAAAAGGATGACGCATTTTTCATTTAGTGTTTGATATTATTCCTCTGTAGTTTATTAACTGAAGTCTATTCTTTTGTTTTTTTAATATCCAGAAATCGCTATTTATTTAAAAGTAATGAATTAGGTTTAAATAAAATATTCGATGGGTCGAGTAGGTTCATATTTATAATATGAATAAAATTATTTTTTATGAATCAATAAATGAACTATTGAATGCTAGAACTATAAACGAAATCTTTCCCCGGTAAATGTGGTTAGGTACCGAAAAGGAATTGAAACGTCGGTTTTAAAGTACAATTTAAAATTAAAACTTATTTTTATTTGTACACGGTTCCTTTAATTTTTTTAACTTCAAGGAAAGGAATATTTGACTTAATTTACATCTGCTAATCTTACATGTCTGCCAGAGACTGCCGAAAGCCTTAAGTCTCTTAATCTTCATATCATACCTTTATCCGTGAAGTCTCTAAGGCGATAACACGTCAAGAACAACAACCAGAGGTTAATTAGTTGGCACAAAGCAAGGAGTTTAACTTGTTGGCATGTGGGTTGAATGTTAGTTGATCTGGAATTAAAAAGGATTAAATTTATCAATATTTCATGGTATTAACTATATGCAATTTCTTTTTTTTGTTCACTAGAAGTTTTAATTTTAAATGTCTTCCAGTACGTCTACGAATTTTAAAACTACTTGATATTCAACTACAAGCTGTATCTTCTCTATAATTCGTATCTCAGTCTCCCAGAATTCTTAACCTAGTTAGAACGATTTTCTACATACCTAAACTCGCTAGTTAATAGAAAGTCATTGACCCAATAAATACTTAATAGGCAAATAAGAAAATGTAAAACGTTTTCAACCTTACATTTTTTAAGCTTTGATTTAAAGCAAGTTACAAAGATGGCTAAGTGGCAACTTAAAAATCTTACATTTCAATTTTTCTTTTTTTGTTTATTCCGTGTTATTCTTTTATTGCTTAAAGGGGACATGCCTTTATTTTATAAAAGTAACACATATGAATAAAACATACATACTTATTAATATAATACCAGACTTTATAATCATATTACAAATTCAATTGCCGTCATAACAAACGATGCGGATAAGTTAAGGAAAACTATAAAAATAAGTGTAAAACACGTTTCAAAATGGACTTTACTATCAACATGGTAGTAAATTAAAGAGAAACTGACTTCAAAGATATTTTTGTATTCTTCATGGAAACAATAGTTTTGCGTCACTATAGAACGAAGGTCTCAAAGATTATTATTTGTTCTCGTTTCAAACGTAGTGCAACGTTTAACGTCTACTAAAAGAATATCCTGAACAGTTGGTAGATCACAAGTCTGGGGTTTTGTCTGGCCAAAAAATCGATACCAACCCGGTGTAAGCACAGCGCCCCTTAATAGGGCTGACTGCACTTAAAAAAATATTTATATTTTTTGGTATCACTGTAGAACTTTTAGTTTTTTTCGTACGATTTGCTATATGAAATCATTACCTCATTTTAATGAAATAATGAGAATATATTACTATTTTTTTTATATTTATTAATTTAATATTGGTATTCGCACTCGTATAATTTGATAATAATGCCAAAAAAGTGAAGGCAATTCTTAATTTTTTTAGTTTAATTGATAAAATTTCACAAATAATTTTCGACAACCCTAGTCTGAATGGACTGCAAGACGGATGATAAAAGGGACCAGCGTCGTGGAACGACGGTAGGGGTCCTAATGATGGAAATGTCTATCTCAGACATAAAATCTCTTAGTAGTAAAAAAAGAAAACGTGACGTTTTAGTATATAACTTAACTAGTTTGGAAAATTTTGCTTCGGTTATTTATGATAAGAAGAAGTAAAAATATATAAATTGATTTATTTGTACAGAGTAGGTATAATAAATATTATTTTTAAAGCTAAGAATTAATGAGTAACATATGTATAAGTGAGATAGTATTTCACTTGTACTTATTCCTAATTAGTTTGAGGTCGTTAAATATGATAAATACTTATAATATACTACAATTTCACAACTGTATTTAGTTCAACGTCCCGTTGAATTTTCCGTGACTATGTTAAGTTTCTTGAACTATTATTAGACATGCTACCTATTTTTATAACTTAATTGGGCGTATTACCTATTTTTTTTAACTTAATAAGGCCTCAAAAATTTATATAAATACCTAAATTTAGACAGTAGGTACATCGATTTCTAATTGCGTATTCCTATACATAATTTTTCGAGAGTTACAGATAAAATTCTACACTCTTCTTACCGACTTTGAATGACGGCAAATAAATTAATTAATTTTAACCTTTACTGACAAATACGAGTGTAACAGTGAAGTATCTTTGATATGAAAAATGTGTTTGTATAATGAAATTAAGGATTTAGTTTAAGATATTTGAAATTCCATTTCTATTTCCAGGTAATTTAAAGAGACGGCTGGGAAGGGCTCGTGGCTTTGTGCTACGTGTTTTTGACGCTCTCTGCAACTGCACGCAAACCGCCGCCGCTGCCGCTCGTACAACCGCACGCAATAATCCGTTTGCAAAACGTTAGAACATCAAAACATTTAAAACAAACGACCCAATGACATAATCAATATCTCGTTCATTTAAACCAATGAAAGTATTAATTATATGTTAATTTATGTATTTAGTACTGCTGCTATATTATATTTACGGAATTGAATAACAAAATTGTATTATCAGATACTTACCTGCTGATATATGCTAAGAATTATTGGACATTGGGCTAGACGACCGTTCATTCTAAATGGCGTATAACAAACCTGTTATCCCAGCAATTTCGCAATACCAAACATGATTTTAGCGTTAAAGCAATTGCTTCTACAAACGACTTGGTCTCCGTTGTGGGCATTTATTGAAATATATATACATATAATGTTATATATATGTAGGTATTGAGAGCTAAAGATTGCTATCAGACGATCATAAAATTAAAACGATTAATCTAAATGTTTCTTTGTAGTTCTTAATAATAAATTAGGTGTTCATTTGAAATGCAATTGTTAAATATGCAATTTAAGATCTTCGTGTCGTATGAATTATGAATGTTTCAAAGAAAAATAATAATTAAATAACCTGTATACTGTAGAAGTTTTCATGTCAACCCAACAATGTAGCGAAATTTTCTCATTTCCGTGCTTCACAGAGCATGTAACTTGCTCTACAGAGCGTTATTAAATCCTTGCTGTGGCTTGTACCCTTACCTTACCCTTACTCATTGTTGAAGAACCCTTATCAAATACGAAGTAGATGAATTTCTTACCTTGCATGTCTTCCCCAAGTCGCCCTTGATGTTAAGTACGTTATTGTGATCAGTGTGAAGACGCTTATAGTTATAAATGTTATACATTTTGCGATATCAACTTGTATTATAGAGGTAAGGCTAAGCATATGAGATCTGATATCCACTTCATCGTTTATTAGCCGTATGGAATTTTTCGTCATTCTAATTTTTCCATTGGAATGAAAATTATGTTACTTGACTGCTTTCTTTAATTTTAGAGCGCTATTTTCAGAGGACCGTACAAATAAGTGAATGGAAAATTAATTTCTTATATCAGTAGTATTTAATAGATACGTAATATAAAATTTTGGAATACAAAATTTTTCTATACCAAAGTCTAACTTGTACAAACATTGATTTACTATACAATTGATTTGTTACAAAATTTTACTGAGACCAGTGTTTATTCAACTATGAAATGTACAATGTTTTATTATTCTTATTTTTAATATAAAATAAATTATTGATAATAATATTATATCATGTAAACATATTATTAGTAGAAATGTAGCGATATTCTAAACAATATGATTAGGTATCTTTTTAAACGCCGCTTAAGCACAAAACGAATGTATTTCTTATGTTTAAAATATAGTGTTCGTATGTGAAACATTTAGGATTTTTTGGCAATTTCGGTGTATATACCTAATGTATTAGATTATAAATGTGTAGACCTTCCATTTCGAGACTTATAACCTTAAACATTAAGACGGAGCTTTTAAATTACGTGTCTTAAACTGAGAAAGATGTACATTTAAAAACATATTTTTCAATGTAATAAAATGAAATAAAATTGTGTACTCTACGTGGTATTAAAAATCTATTCGCACATTTTCGTATAGTTCTATTTCAAGGAATTTTATTAAATTTGCATGCATATATTAGAAAACTACGGTAATATTCAAAACAATTTTATTTTTGGGAGATTTTTTAAGTTAAAATTATTTTTTAACAAAAAAGAATGCTATGAAACGCTTACGAATAAATTATTCTTTTCATACATTTTGAACTAAATGCGAATAGTGTGTGAATGGATCGGACGTATTTATTTATTATTGTAAGTTAATTATATTATAATGTTCAATGTGATATCCTGCCTACCACTTCCTATGTGATCCGACTTGCAATTCTTCTATGTATATTAAAAGGATTTTGTGTATATTACTACGTATTATTTTGACCTTCACAATAACTTTTCTAACAAAATGTTAATAAATATCTAATAGGTAAATTCATAACCAAATCTATATAGCGGATGGATAATTTTTGATCCCCTTTACTCAAGAACAAAATATGAAAAGAACATCCTCGTAAAACATGACTAATTTTCCACACTATGATTAATGATGAAAAGATTGCAGATGGCTGAACACGAACATGTTTGCGTGTGCGGAACTACGGAAAATGTTCATATAAAATGTTCCATTTGCTTTCTCTGTAAAAATACCGTCGGGATTTTTTTCCATTTTATCAAAATAACTGTCATCAGAGAATAATATCATAGCGATTGTGAATATTTGTACTAGAAAAATGCAGTTATATTTTAAACTGTGGCATCTAAGCTTAAATTGTTAACGCCATTTTTAGACTAGTGATTATTTTTTGTGTGTTAGCCGTCCAATGAGGCGATCGCATGCTAATAGATATTAGCCAATTAAATAGTCGTTTTGAATGCGAATATTATAAAGACTATTTAGTCTGTAGCGTATTTTGATTGTATCAATGTATAAATAATTGCAGGTAAAAAACTACACCCGGGCATGATGATAGTGTATCAATGAAATGTTTGTTATTATAAATAAATGGGAAACGATAAAAGCGGCTGGTAGTAACGATTGCTACCTCGGATCGAAGTTGTTAGATAGGAACTATACCCCTGTAATTTTATATGTACAGTATATGTTTGTATGTATAAAATGTATACATACTGAATAAAAAGTTTTCCTAGGCCTAGGATGAGGGGACGTGAAAGACAATGCATGCCCTGGCTTGGCAAATTTACATGAGGCACTTGTTCTTTTTCATTAAATATCAACTGTTAATTCAAATGTTATAACTGGTAAGAAGTTTTAACAAATAAGATATTCGTAATTTATATGAAGAGGAACAGAGTTGTTAATTGCGCTACTCCTGGAGGTAGGCTAGAACTTCAATAATCGTTAGTAATAAGACCTACAAGGAGTTCAGACATAAACATTATCTTCTAATAAAATACCTATATAGATGCATAACCAGTATTAAAGTACCTTTCAACTTTAATAAACAAATATTCGAAATTTAAAAATAAATTAAAATTCCTGTTATTGAGGCAGCGTGACGTTGACAGCAACCTATTTGCAGAATGAAATTACAGTTAGTAAAGGTCAATCGATATTGGATACGATCTATAAATAAAGCGATAAACCAGCTCTCCCGCTAGATATAACTTATGGGTAAGTTAAACTTTGTAAAGGGTACTCGAGCTATTAAATTAAGGTGGGTACTTATTTAAGATTTTATTTTGGTTTTAACAACATTTTCTCGCATACGGTAATTAAATGCCTATAAGGTATTAAGTAGGTATTTTACTACTACTAACGTCGGTCTGGGTTGATATATAATTAAATATTTAAATACAGTTTCTTTGTAGACTTTTTTTAGAGGTGTTCAGAAAATGTCCTGACCAATATGGTATGCATGAATGGTTGAAGTTATTTCAAGAACTAGCTTTCCGCCCGCAGCTTCACCCGCGTGGAGTTCGGATATATCGCGTTTCCAAGAGAACCTTTTAAAAGTCTGGAATAAAACCTATCCTGTTCTTTCTCAAGGTCAACTCCATCTTTGAACCAACTTTCATTAAAATCAGTTCAGTGGTTTAGGCGTGAAAGCGTAACATACAGACAACAGACACACAGAGTTACTTTCACATTTATCATATTAGTATGGATGGTTCAATCGTTCTGAAAACGTCCGATTGATTGATATATTTATAGACATTTAAATTAAAAATTGCTTAACGTATTTGGTATTGGACCAGATTGAAAAGCCCCATTGGTACAACGTAAATGACTAGTAAAGGCTATTTTAAAAAAGAATTTACCTAATAAAAACAATATTTGACAATAATACTAGCTCAGGAAAGACATATTAACAATTTAATGACAGAAATCATTGTGAAATTGCAAAAATAAAATTGCTCGTTTTTTTGTTATGAAATTTAATTCACCTACATTACAGTAAAAAACGAGGTTCGCCTTGTAATGCAAACAATTTAGGCATAGGTATACCAGTTGACGAAAAAAGCAAATGTATCTATTTAATTTTTTTTTTAAATATAATTATACTTCATTTAATTTTATACTAGCAAAAACTTAAAACTTGCAATTGTTTGCGATTTTTAAATTTAGAACTTGTAAAACAGTTTGACAGCGAACTTTCCTTTTATTAGCACTGTCCTACGAAACAAATTAATCTGATCATTTAATTCATGCATTTTGAGTAATAAGTGAGTATAGTAATAAGTTACGAAACGGGTTTAAATTCTTGACTAAATATTGATATATTTTCGCTCTTATATTTTCAGAAAGAAATTTAATGCATTTTTTAAAATCTTTTCATTACAACTGGTCTAAAACCTATAATGATTGATATAAAGCTATACTGCCACCCGTTCTGTAAATGTGTTTCAGGTCATGTCAATAAGATGAAAGCAGGTCAAGCATTTTCAAAGGATCGAATCTATCAGACCTAGTTTGTAAAATTTACAAATTTTGATTTAAAAAATATAATTATTAATTTAAAATGTTATGTTAAAATTAAATTACGATTGTTCATATTGATTGTGCGCATAAATAAATAGAATTTTCTCTTTGTCTTCGATAGTGAATATGTCTTTCATTATATGAATTATCATATACCAATGTGGAAGATCAATGTATAGGTACTAAAAGTTATTACTATTAATTTCCATATATATATTTTTTAATCTTATAAACTTAATTAAAACCTAAAGTACCGCCTCAATATGTAATGAAAATAAGTTGACTATGTTTTTTTTATATTAACTAACCATTTACATTTACTCAAGGACCTAAATCCGTAATCAAGCCATATTTTTTTATTTATATAAGTATAACAATATTTTTTAATAGAAGATCCAGATTACTTATAACTGTATATATGACACAAAATATAATAAATACTATAGTAAAGAAAAGGTGCTGGTTTGTCTAATAGGCACATGTATTACTTATATTTTGTGAACATACATAGTCTATTAGAAGTATTGCTACAAAAAAGTTTAAGCAAATGCAGTGAACATTGTATGTTCCTATTAATTAAGAAGCCCTATAGGCTATAACGTTAATATTCTAAGCTGAGATTAATTTTAAACATTGGTAATTTGCATAGAATATGTGTATTTTGATGCAGATTTCTATAAATTTTTGGATATTTATGGTCATATATAGTATTCTTGCTAAAGTAATAAAAGTATATTATCTAGAAACAAAAGCCAGCAATGAAAATGTTGTAAATTTATATTTATATACACGAGCATTAAAAATTCTCAAAGTCTTAGAAAAACATTATTATTTTCTGTGTTTTTTGTAATTTGGTGAGCGATCTCTATCCTTCTTCTTCTTTTTGCCTTTCCTTTTCTTATCTATATCTTTTTTTTCTTTATTTCTCCTCTTATCTCTTAATCTCTGATTAGAATCTGAAGATTCGCTACTGCAGACCGATCTGTGTCTTCTGCTTATGGATTTTTTTCTTTCATCTGAATTTGAACTCAATGAGTCATTACTGCTATATCTTTTCTTATTGCTTTTCCTATGACTTCTTTCTTTGCTGACAGAAGAATCACGTTTGTATCTTCCTCTTTCTTCTATATCCCGACTCCTACTTCTTCTACTTCTGCCATTTGAATGATTTATATCCTTTTTTCTATTCTCTTCTTGACTCCGATCCTTTCTATAGCCCAATTGTTCTTTATCATTTGATTGGTTATTTGAAGAACCTTCGTTTCTATCTTTTCTATCGCCAGGTTTCATAGAATTCTGTGGTTTAGTATTGAGCCTTTCATTATTCTTATATTCCTCGTATGATTGTGAATCTGAAATAGAAAAATGGTTTAGCAAAACATAATTTACAAGATTCTTAAGATTAAATTACAAAATAATCTTGTACCAAATAAATACATTTGAATTTTATGTTATCCTCCTGGTGAGTTTAAAGTTGCATCATTATAATTCAAAAAACATTTAACAAAAAAATGTCTAGTCGTACTTTTTCAAAATTAACTAATAAATAAGTTTTTAAGGAAATTATGACATACAAAGCTGAGATTTTATCATTAATAATAATACTTTTCGAAAGTAAAGGAAGTTCTACAAGTTTATCAGCAATATACTTGAGTTATAAATCAGTTCATTTCAATTTATTTTAACCTTTTGTAAACAATGAACACTAGTTACATGTTTTATTATTGGTCAATTGCCAGTAATAGAATCTATAGGTCATAGATTAAAAAGAAGTAAATTTATTTTCAATCTATGCCTCATTAAGTCAACTTAATACTAAATATAAACTAACTCACTGATAACTTTTGATTGTTTGTCAAACTCTGTTTTAGTGACGGGCTGCATCATAAATTCACTGAGACTAACTGTTTCTTTCTTCATTATTATGTCAACAACTACTCTGCCATTGTCCTCATCCAAACTGATGACCTGCAATTGAAATTAATAATGTATTAAGCCTTTTGCTTTAAAATTATATACTACAGTATGGTCTACATGAAAAGTTACTAAACTTTTTTCACATACATCAAGTTTAATTGGATAAAACTAAAATTTTCGGTTATATGAGATGAAAATATTTGTCCTATAGACATCTTGTCTGCCCATGATCATGGTTGCTGCAAAGTAACCAAAACATCGGGAGTATGTAATTTCAAAATAATTAAAAACGCATAGTATATTACAAAATCTTAGTTATATTTAAAGGAATTTTTGCGACAATCTTAGATACATTTGGTTTATTTGGTCCTTTCAGCTGCATTTCTAATTATTGGCGTAACTTGAAAAATATTTAAGAGTATATCAAATCTTTGTTTTGTTCCTGGGTATACCGAATATGAGATATACAAGTTTTGGAAGGAATAGTTAAATCTTTTAAGTATGCTCACATACCTTGCCATAATATCCACTGTATTTACCAGATGTAATTTTCACATAAGCATTCTTAACTATAGACAGTTCTTCGTCTTTGCTTGATTTGTTCTTTTGATTTTCCTTCACAACTTTATCTGCTCCTAATCCCAAACCTTTAGGTCGTAATTGGGGCTGTTTGTACTTAGATCTGATATCAAAAATATTGGTTTAAATGAAATAACAACAATTTTACATAACATACATAACATGTAATTAGCCAATATTCTTCTGTATGTATGTATTGTCTCATAAGGTGACTGTCTGAGTACTTTCTAATAATTGGCATTAATGTTAATAAACTTCTAAAGTTTTATGTGTCCAATTCAGTAAGTAAAAGATATTTATTCACATAAATAATATTCAAAAGAGTTTCTAAGCCAACAATAATATGTGAAGAATTATTTAAAAACTACATAATATTCTGCACTAATTCACTAAACATTTACATGAATGTTACAGAAGTTGTACTTGAAATTAAAAATTGTATCATAAAATTTTTATGAGAGTAAAGCCCTATATTTATATATAAGCTGGTGTAAAATAAAGAAAATAATAATACTCACTGTTCTTTACCCTCGGTCCATCCCATACCACGAAGCATGGCCAATCCAAAGTCTTGTATCGGCACCGACTCATAATCATCCAGAGTAGACTGAAAAGACAGAAATGGTATTTATAAATAAAAGTTGTAACAATAAAATTATTATACAAATGAGATTTTTTTAGAGCAAATTGTTATTAATGAACTTGTTTTAGACAGTTTCTACAATGGATACATAAATAATTTCATATTTTAATTAACTTTTACATTATACTTTTCTTTTTATTTGCATCTTTTATAAGGAAACCATATGTTACTATCAAAATAATTTAGATTTATGTCACTTTCTTGTTCAGAAAATTAGATTTGTGCCAACTCAACTCTCCAAGTAGAGTATAGTCGAATGGGATTCTAACTAAGTCAAGTTTAGGCTGGCAGTATATTAAGGAATTTAGCAACAACTAGAGAACAATTTGTCCATTGGACCTAAATATATGTCTATTTCATATTATAGCTTTAATATCAATTGTATATGTATATATTTTTTTATTATCAAAACAATATTATGAAGACTTTTACTGTAATTTATCTATAAATTACTCAGCCAATAGATATAGTCATAAATATCCTAACATTAAGTTAGATTGATGAATAAATATGTAATGTTTTTGTAACATCATTGTTTAATAATAATATTGGACTCTAATATTTTTACATATTCTATTATTATAAATATATATTCTAGTTTCTATATTCATAATGTTTGAATCGAAATATATCATGATACATTGTTATATTCCATTTAAAGGGGTTCTCATTACCTTAAATCTAATTGAATAAATAATATAATAATTGTACCTCTACTTGACCTTCAAATACTGGCTTAACATTGACAGGTACCACTAATGACGGGGTATCTTCAACTTTGACGCTTTTGGCTCCTTCCATTAACTCTCTTACAGCCATTTGATCTAATGTTTCATTATTAGGAATTTCTTCAACTTTTTCTTGTTTCACAACAACTGGTTCATCAAAATTTTCTACTTTCTCTGCTATGGCTTTTAACTTTTCAGCTGTAATTAAGGTGTTAGCCTTCATAGGTATAACTAAAGGTTTAAATTCTTCTGCTGCTTCACCCCTGAAATATAGGTTTAAAACATGAACATATGAACAAATAAAACATACCAATAGTTGATTAATTTCAAATTGGATTATAGGGGCTATGAATCTGCAACTTAGAAGAAAAGGTTTGTTAAAACTTGATCTAATATATTGTTATAATCACTACTAACCCGACCGTTTTGATAGACTTTTCTTCTAAGCAGTCAATATATTCTTTTCTCTCAACCAGTATTGGTTTATCCTGCTTCTTGGTTTTCATAAAACCGAATGATATTTTTTTGCTATCCATTTTTAATATATACGATTTTATATACACAACCGTAAATTTATTATATCTTTTTTAATTTGTCAAAATATATTATAATACCACTTCATTGATAAAGTATTTTTATTGAAATTGTATTTACAAAACACTGTAGACTAACGACTCAGTTAGGTCGCTACGCATGCGTGACAAAGGAATGAATATGTCAAAAATAAAGTTGACTGGGAGTAGCGATGTTGCTAGTTGCAATATCACTATAAGGTTTGTCAAAATGTTTGGAGTATAAATAGTTAATCTAAAAAAAGTAAGACGTGATTTATAAAAATGTAGAGAAATAGATAAAAATTTAATTAGTTAAATATATCACATATTAAAAACATTTTTATCTCTTCAATAGGTGACTTGAGAAAAATGGCTTGTAATCAATGAGGTGGTTTTTCTGTAAAATTCTATAGTTAAATTACTTTTGTTTAGTATGCGATAAAACGTATTATATTAACCATAAATAGAAAGGAATTTTAAACTACTAAGCAGAACAGAACTATGTTCTTAGGGCGCAATTTATATTGATATGTATGATACTATAAAGACGTAAAAAAATATTTGTAAAATCAAAAAGTACTCCGAATTAATAGCTACGCTTGAATGTTGTTCATATGGTGTGAGACTTCCACCTGTAGCTTACGTATAGCAGTTTTATCTTAATCAAATTTTACAGTCTAAATAAAAAAATCAATTCTAGGTACATTGTATAAAGCAGATTTAATTTTTTTTGTGCTTGAATACTAAATTGATATATAAAGAAATTACAGAAAATTATGGTGACTGATTAGTTATAAAACTAAAATAAAAAAATATTTTAAATAAATTATTGTAAAATTATGCTCTCAATCAGGGAAATATGTATATAAATACGAACTAAATTGCGCCCATCTTACTTAAATGTTGTCTTATTCCGTTACGTTATCTGGAAGGCGGAAGAGAAACCAATATAAGATTTAAACTACTTTTGTAAGTTAGAAAATAAATTGGAAGCTACTGATTTTTTAACGATTTACACGATGTAAGCCTGCAATACAATACAGCGGTCATTGTAATTATTACATTGCTTTTAGGTATATAATTACTAAGGTACAATTAAGTATACCAGAAAAATTACACTATTGCTTTTTTCGATGGAAATCTACATCGGTTGTCTTCATGGAGTAGGTAGGTAGGTGTACATGTAACTTATCTATAAATAAATACGTACTTATCCTTTTCTCTTCTACTTGAACATTTAATAAGTTTTTCTTAAAAATTATTAGTTTTGTTCTCCATTTTCCTTGATTCCCAATCGGAAGTAACTTTTGTGCACTGAGCCATCATAAACTGAAGACATACATTATTGTTTTGTTGTTGTTAAATTGATGGAGGAAAAAAATAAGAAGCTGTAATTGTCTCCAGCTTGTCAATTTTATATTAAGTAATATTAAAATTTTAGTAATAAAGTTAAACAGTTATAAGAAAGTATTTTAAAAAATAATTAATCAATCAACGTAAATGGAAGAATGTGACAAGCTGAAATCTAAGAAAAAAAACCAACAGTGTTGATGACAGACAGACCTGCAAATGGAATAAGAAACCTTTTTCATGATTTATGTAACCTTTAGAGTATACCGTACAATTATTTTCATAGAGAAGAATTGTATGTGACAGCCTGGGTTTACCCCCTTTGTATGAATTTCATTGTAAATTTATAATATGATTCACAGTTGGTGAAGTGTTTGCTTACTGTATTACTTGTTTTATTTTTACTAAAACCACACCATTTCCATGACTAAAACAACCCACCCATTTGCGTATTCCATGATTAAGCATTAAACGCGTCACATTAAATCAGACATTAATGAGATTTATAAAATTGCATTTTTGTATATTTTAACTTTTTATTTTATTAATACATTAATTTTCCATTATATTTTTCAAACATAACGCAATTCCCTCTACAGTTAAGAATAAGTTTTAAATTGACGTAGAATTTGCAATGAACTAGACAATTAGAGGATTAAGCACACTGTAATACGCTTTGTAGTGAATGATTTTGGAATACGTGCTTTGTGTGAATAGTGGAACCGAAAGCTTTAGTTGAAACTGTACGTACTCGTACTTAAATAGTTTCTGTTACATACTAATTAAGGTACTTCTTAATACATTTTAGAGACAACTTCGCAAGTGTAATTTAAGTGTACTATGGTTAATACATTATATGAAATAGTCCAATTACTGTGTTAAATGCATTTAGGGCTGTAATGAAATAAAAATTGTGTAACTTATTCCATAGAAGACATATAAATTTTGTCATTTATAATACGAATACAAATATCTTTATTGAGATATAATATGCACCTAAGTTTCACAGGTGATAATATTATGATATCGACCGATGAAAACGTAATAACATTAGAAAAAAGAAAGTTTTTAAGTTTATTCATAGAATAATTTTTTTAAGTTGAGTAAGACAACTAAACTTAAAAAAGAGAACTTAGAATCACTATGAACAATTGTTTAAAACACAGATAAGGTTTTTTATGGTTCCGATATTATATTAAATATGGTCAATATTTTATGATTGTTGTGTGTTTGGAACTGAAGCAATACTAATTACTTGTAGCACAAATATTTGTGTTATATTAATGAAAGTTATTTACATTGTATAAATTTCAAAATATTTTAAAGATTCTCGAATAAAACGAAAAAATGAGAAAGTGCCGATCTCACTTTCTGGGTCATGCATTCATGTTTAATTTTTGAAGTAAAAGAAAATTATGATAGTAAACAAAGAATGGTGAAAATTCCATTCACTTTTATTTTATCTAAATGTGATTTCCTAGTTCAAATAATAATATTTTAAGTATTACATAAGAATTTTATAACTCATATACTCAAAATAAATTCAGAACGCAGCTTAAGGCTACAGTGAAAATAAGCACTTGATATTGCTTCTCTAGAATAAAAGCTCAGTCTCTCGAGCATTGTGAAAAGTAAGACGGAATTTTTCTGCAGTACATTGAAACCTGCAATGGGAATCCTATTTATTTGAGACTACAATTGACTACATTCTTCTTTTGCCAGTAAATTCGTGAAACATTTAGGATAATGCTCGTGGACCTTATTGACATGTGATTAACATACAAAAAATATGTGAGCTGTAATTTAAATAAAGTATTTTCCGGCAAAGATTTTCCAGTACTTATATAAATTTACGTATTTATATTTTATATGTATAATATCTAAATGTTTTTTTCTTTTTACCTTCTCTTTTGTAGCTACAGCACACTTTCTTTAGTTTCCTCTATGAAGAGGTTTTCTAATAGAAATCCCTTTTGAGATATGAGTTATTCTTTGTGAATCATATCTCATTTATAATACTATAATTGTTTCTACTTTTGGAACATAAATAAATAAAATAAATATCTTCTATATGTGATTTAGGTAGGTAGGAAAATAGATATAATATAATTATGGTACACAACACAAAAGTCATTTAGGTCGATAATGTTACAGGAAAAGAGAGTAGAACCGTAAGCGAACTTATCGCTAATGAGCGATTTCTTCGAGGTAACCTTTTGAGTAAAAGACAAATAGAAGATGAAATTGGGTTGAGGAGAATAGAACAAATGTATGTACATATATTTAAAGAAATATTAATATACACAAATGAATGGCACAGTATAAAAGAGCATATTTGGTTGAAAGGATATAATTTAATAGCTTGGTGAAATTTAACATACAAAGGGTATCCAAGTTAAACCTAAAATATGTATGATTTTTTATTAAGTGAGCCATTTTTCAAAAGAGTTCGTAATTGATACATTATGAAATTATATCATAGACTTATAATAAATATGTGATTTTAAAATTGTATTAAGTTTTTATATTACACAAAAGATCAGTAAATGAAGTAAGAGGATTATTATATTGAATAACTTTTTTAAATATTACATACTATAAAACAATTAATAATGCTGTTTTATCTTGGGTTAAAATGATGAAGATCAATAATTGTTCGTTAAAAGTAAACAAAGAAAACCAAAATAATGATAATTTGTGACTTATCAATGATATGTCCGCATACTAAAAGTTTACATCTTCACATACATGAAAAGGCTTTCGCGTTTCTCATTTAATAACGTACGTTAAAACTGTAATATCAATAATTTTATGAATAAAAAATTCGAAATGTTCCGCATGTAGTGTTATAATGAAAAACTTATGGTAGGTATACTGAAAAGACCTAAAATCTTAAGGATAATTGAACTGACGCTAGTCCTGTTTTATATCCTAGCCACGAGTTTGTACCTATTCTCATAAAAAACTAGATTTTTTTAGTTTTCTATTCATATACCAATATAGATGCTATCATGGACCGGAGGTTTCAGACAAAAAATTTAACACATTTAAGATGTTATTTAAATAGTAAATAAACCGTCTCAGAAGTGTTTATAGGTTTTCATAAAAATAAATTCCTTATTTGAAGAAAAATACATGATAGTATCTTAAAGTAATAAAATGCAATATAGCAAATTGCCTTTGATATCTCACTCGGAAGTGTAGTAACTCGACAGGAACTTTACAATCCAAGATGCAATAGAGATAGCTAATTGAAGTTATGTTCTAATACTAAAGATGCTTGTTCCTGTCAGAATTTGACCTAAAGTTTAATGTAGATTTAATTTACGCAACGTTAGTAATAAATCATCTTTTTGAAATCAGATAAATGTAGTGTAACGAAGTTCTATTTAAGTAAAACTTACAAATATTTTAATATATATATTATAAATTTATGACAAAACAATAACGTAAGAATGTGAATATATTGCTAATTGTACAGCTCTAAAGTAATCTTCCTCAAGTTAACGTTTAATTCTATTAACTATACCAGTCATTGTTAGCCCACATCTAGCGGCTACCCGGCACCTGTCCGGAATCGGTCTATTGTGCTGCAGGCGTCTTATTCCATGTTTACCTAATCGTGGCCTACA